ACTGAAGGGAAAGACAAAAACTAAAAACAGACAGACAGACAAGAAAGTAAAATAAAAACTACATGGACAGAATTTTTTGTCTATTTTGTTCACTGCCACATCCTCAGAATCCTTTGAAATATACCTAGCACTTAAGTATTCATTAAGTACATGCTGGATGAATGAATGAACAATTGATCCTCCGTTTAAAATTCTGGTACAATTCTCATGTTACAATATTCAGTATTCTACAAACTCTGCAGTTCTGTAAAAACTATACTTCACATCTTCATTCAGTCTGATTCATTTAACATAAGTTAAACCCTGATTAAAAGAGATTAAAAATTAGTATTTTCAGAATTGAAGACAGCATGTTTTAGGTTTTCCCAGAACAAATAAAGGAACTAGTCAGGCATAAACTCATGTTATAAGATCCTAAGCAAGTGTTGTTTACTCCTTGAAGCCTGATTCCTGAACTATGGAAAATATCTAAGCCAAATATAAAGAACAGACAGTAATAAAAGTTCACAAAGAGATACTTTATGCCAATCCTTGAAGAATGAAGGAACTGGATACTTAACATTTTATCCTTAAAAAAATGTGTATTCTACAACATTCTCTATTTCTCTTAATAGTACTTATTCTGGTTCCCCCAAAGAGTATAACCTCTTTGAAAATAGTATTGGCACTCAGTAGATATTTGATTGTAGCATTTTTCAATTATATTTTCCTGACAGGTTAAAATGACTTTTTTTTTAAAGGTAAAAATGAAGATTCTGACTTTAGGTTTTTAACATTACTGGTGTAAAGTAAGTGTTCTTTATAAAAATACAGAATATAAAATGTACTAAGCCTTTAACTTCTACAAAACTATGAAAAAAACCAAATGTATGGAGGCTGGGGTTGTGGCTCAGAGTGCTCGCCTAGCATGACTGAGGCACTGGGTTCAATCCTCAGCACCACATAAAAAAATAAACAAAATAAAGGTGTTGTGTCCATCTACAACTAAACAAGAAATCTTTAAAAAAAAAAAAACAACAAAAATCAAATGTATGTATGTGGATAGAATTAATAAAGGCCAAGCAAAATTAATGATTCAAAAATGAATGGAAAAGAATTAACAAATGAAAGTTGGTTCTTTTGAAAAGGTGCATAAAAATGCAAATAAGAAAAAAAGACATTAGAATGAAAAAGGAAATTTAAAAGTACATGGAAGAAGTTAAGAGACTAAAAAACTAAATGCAACTTGTTGTATATCAATACTTTTTAAATCTAGAAAAATTTGGTATGCTAAATATTTTTTCCAAAAATAACTAAAGAAAAGGTTGAAAATTATAAGACTTATAATCTTATTAGAAATTCATAATTTGTGGAAGATCTACCACTATACAATCTACCAAGTTTAATTTATTAGGCCAGTTTTGTATTCATTCTGCATGGATCAAGTAATTCCTATATGATTATCATTACTCTATACCAATAAATATGAAACACTGCAATTCATTTTTCAAAAGTAATACATACCCAAATTCCAAAGAAGAATAAAGAAAAAATATTGTAAAGTCTCACTTAAAAACATAGATAATAATACCTGAATAAAATATCAAAAAATCAAAACCTACAGCATAGCAAAAACAGGGTCTATTACCACTGCCTGCGTGACCTTGGGCAAATTATTTCATCTTTCCTTTAGTTTTTTTTTTTTCATCTGTAAAATGGTGATTATAACAGAATCTATAGCAGGGAGTTCTTATGAATATTAAATAGGTAGGTAGAAAGTCCTTAGAACAGTGCCTGGCACATGATAAATGCTCAATTAGTCTGTGTAATTATTATTCCAAGAAAAAATGCAACATAATATAAAGAGGAATCTCCTAAAACTGATATAAAATACTTATAACAAGTCAATAGTACAAATTATACTGAGTGTAAAAAATACTAGGCCAGGTGTGGTGGTGCCTGCCTGTAATCCCAGGGGCTTGGGAGTCTGAGGCAGAAGGATCGCAAATTCATCAGCCTCAGCAACAGCAAGGCACTAAGCAACTTAGTAAGACCCTGTTACTAAATAAAATGCAAAGAAGGGCAGGGGATGTGGCTCAGTGGTTGAGTGCTCCTGAGTTCAATTCCCCACAACCTCACCCAAAATACTGGTCATTCTCATTGAAGATATTCAGTGTTATCATGATTTTTCATATTTTCAAGATTATGCTAATACAATAAGATAATAAATATTGGAAGATAAAGTAATTATTTACCAATGATATAAGAAAGAAAGTCTACAGAATAAACACAACTCTATTAGAATTATTAAGAGAGGCTGGGGTTGTGGCTCAGTGGTAGAGCACTTGCCTAGCATGTGTAGGGCACTGGGTTTGATCCTCAGCACATTAAAAAAAAAAAAAAAGTATTGTGTTCATCACAATAAGTAATCAAAAAGTATTGCCTCATTGTCTTGAGGCTTCACAACTAAAAAAAAATTTTAAATTAAAAAAAAATACTAAGAGATTTTGATAAGTAGCCTGATTTAAAACCAAACCAAACAATTAGTATCCATTTCTTAAGAGTAACAACAAAAATTTGTGAGAAAAAGAGAATCTTCTTAAAATTACAAAAAATTATAAATACCTAGAAATATAATTCAATGTTACAAAATTATATGATAAACTATATAAAATTTCACTGAATAAAAAATATACCCCAAATACTGTTGATTGACTACCTCAGCAATACCTGTATTCTCCTAATTACACAACCTAGAAATTTGGAAATCCTTCTAGAGCAATCCTTCTCCTCAATCTTCACGAATAGTCACTGAATCCTGCCAAATTGACCTCATAAATATTTCTCAAATTTTTACCCCTTCTAAATCTCCAAATCAATTATCCTAGTTATCCTTTGCAAAGACAGAAGCAAATTAGTCTCCCTATTTCTAGTCTTTCCCCTCTCAAAATCATAGCCCATTCATCAGCCAGAGTAATCAATCTAAAACACAAATTGACTAGATAAGGTCCCAGTTTAAAAACAGAGATCACTACAGCACTCAAGATGGAATCCAAGCACAAGGCCTTTAGTCACCTGGACTGAGCATCATCTCCTTCATCTACTCTTTACCCTTTTTAAGGAATAAAAACATGGTTCTGTTTACCAAATCAGGAATGCAAGTATCACTGAATAAAAATGCCCAGGTTTCTCACAGCTACAAACATGTTTATATTACTAAGCTTCCATTAAATTTGGTGAAGATTTTTTTCATGAGAAAAAATTACTTTACATTAATATAAACAGAAGAAAATGCAAAATTTTGTTACCGCTTAAGTTAAAATGCAAGATTCAAAAGAAGGCTCACACACACAGAGTTGGAGCCTTTTGCAGGTGCTAAAAATGGTGATGCTTACACCTGTAATTGGAGGTGAAAGTGTAATACTACCAAAATCTTAACACTCCATTTACCAACACCTGTAACTAACACAAAATAACTGTCAAGCAATAATTCCTTTTTTTTTTTTTTTTTGGTAATGGGAATTGAACCCAAGGATGCTAACCACTGAACTACATCTCCAGCCGTATTTTCCATTTTGAGTCAGGCTCTAGCTACTTTATGGAAGCTCATCTTGAAACTGTAATACTCCTGCCTCCCCAGTAGCTGGAATTACAGGCATATGCAGTACACACTCCATAATTCATTCTTTATGTTGATTAACTCAAAGGTCTTGCAAGATCTTATATGACCTCATCTCTGTATCTCTACCACTCATTCTTGCTCTCTACTCTGTATTCCTAGTATGTTGTCACATTTCCACTTTAAAGTCTTTGTCCTCGCCATTCTCACCAACTAGAAACTTTTTCCACTAATGAATATAGCTTTTTCTCAACTCCTAAAAGTATTTCCTCAAATGTTGCTTCTCCATGAGGTAACAATACTCTGTTTTCCTCCATCATTTTCCTTATTTTTCTGTTTATTATAGATTTCCTACCAGAATGTAAGTTCTATGACACTAAGATTTTTGGTGTTTATTCACTGAATCTCTAGAGCCTAGAACAAGTACATGGTAGAATCTCAACGAATTAATTTATTGAATGAGAAATCCTGTCAAACAGATCATACTTAGATTTTACTTTAAGACTGTAACAGTGAGAGCCTGCCTGGAGTCACATAGTCAAAGATGAAGCAATGATTTGTAAAAAACACGGTTCCATTCTTTACAATCACTGATACTTTCATTTATGTGGTGAATTCCTAAAATACTTTTTATTTAGGATATTTACCTTATCAGACAGTTTCTTCCTAGCAAGGGGTACTTCCACCTCTTTGTTCCCAGACTGGCAATGCCTAACTCATAAACATTCAATAATTATTTAATATGGAAAATGAATAAATGCATAAATAATTAGGTACCCCCAAACTTTTACATGAATGTCTCAATGGTCCAAAAGATTGTCAACTACCCTATTTAATTTTAAATCGAGTTTTAATATAAAAATACAGTGTGCCTTAACAAAAGTACTGGCACAGAAAGTTTCTTCAATTGACAAAACGTGATTTCCGAATTAAACGGACTTGTGCTGTATCTGCACAATTTTCTACAACCTGGTTTTTAAGGTTTTATTCGTCATTAGCATATACTACGTTGAAAGTTCCAGAATCAGTTACTCACTTCACTCTATACACATGCATATTACCTCTCAACAAAAAATGCAAAGTGTCATTTTCTCCATCATCGAACTTTACAAGACATGCTAGACACACAGACAACTTCGCTTACAAAAATTAACGCTGAGAACATCCTCCGGAGCAATACCTGGCCCAGGCGTCCCCGAGGTAGCTTTCTGGAGGAAGTTTGGCACTAGTGTAAGGGCATAACTAACTTGCTGTAGAACCCCAGGTACCACACACAGGTCCTCTCTGAGAAATATTCACTCCTAGGCATAAGGGGTGGTTGCAGCAAGACTTAAAATTGAGGCCCCTCCCAGGCCGCGTCAAAATCCAGGACCCAAAGATTCTTCTCCTCAGATCTCCTCACCGTGTCTAGACTAGGGGAAAGCGACCATTTCTCTGGTAGAAGATGATGCACAAAGAAAAAAACTGGCCCTCCAGCGTGAAGCCCGAGGAAACACACAAAAACAGAACACACTACTTAGCCAGGGCCGACCCCCGGAGCCTAACCGCCCCTCCACAAGTTAAGCCGCAATCGCGTTTATCGCGAGATTTCTCGTCTTCTCGGAGCTCAATCTGAAACCTCGCGGCCTCTTGTGTAAGAGAGGCTAAGAGGCCGCCTCTCAATCCCTTTCACGGACCCCCAGAGCACCTCGACCCCTAGGCCCACCCCTCCCCGCAGACCTAGCAGTCCCCCAGAGTGTCTCGAAACTTCCGGAGCTCGACCGGAACCGGAAACAACTGGGAGTGGGTGGAGCCGCAAAACGAAAAAGCGCGGTGAACAGTGGAAGCCCCAGCGGACTGAGACTGGGCGGCTTTTAGACCAGCACTGCGAACTGGACTGTCCCGATGGACTCCACCGCCTGCTTGAAGTCCTTGCTCTTGACCATCAGTCAGTACAAAGCCGTTAAGTCAGAAGCGAACGCTACTCAGCTTTTGCGGCACTTGGAGGTAAAGGATTTCGCGGCGTGGGACAAATTGGGTTCTCCGTCCTTAATAATTACCACGGATCCTGGTGTGGCCGGGGAGTGGCGGCCCCAGCTTGGGGCGGAAAGGACAGCTCTTCACTCTCTTAACTGTCATTTTGTATTATGAGGGCGAGTGAGTATAAGCGTTCAGGTGGCTGCAGCGAGAGAGGAGGGCCTACGGAGGACTCCAGGAAAAGAGCGGGTGGGAAATTTGGGCCCACTCATCCACACCACTCCTTGGTGTTTTCATAGTTTTTAATTTTGCCATTTAGGTAGGCGATATATTTCTGATGGTGAATGCCTTGTGCAGCTCTCAGAAAAAAACTGAGAATGAAGAAATGGGTGTCAGCGTGAAAGGGGATTATCCATTCTTCCGAACTTCCTCCATACTTTGTCTATATAGACCCATGCAGAACTTGAGCTTTGAATTTTTTATGATTCACAAAGCTAAGTTTAGTTGACTTTTTTGTATTATAGTTATACATAATATTGGGGTACATTTTGCATAATCATACAAGCATGGAATATAATTGTCTCTACTTGAGTCGCTAGTATTTATTCTTTCCCCCTCTTTCTCCCTCCTGTTTCCACTTCCACTATTGTAGTGGTCTTCCTTCTATTTGTTCATAGTTTCTTAATTGGTTCTTTATAGGCTAAGCTGATTCTTGATGATGGTATTTCACAACAGTAACCTTGTGACTAGAAATTAAAAGTAGCATTCAGATTGGGCCTGGTGGTGCATGCCTGTAATCTCAGTTACTTGGGAGGCTAAGGCAAGAACATCATATGTTCAAGACCAGCCTGGGCCTGACTCAAATTTTTTGAAAAGGTCATAGTTCAGTGGTAAAGTGCCCTGGGTTCAATCCCCAGTATCCAATACACAAAAAGTATGGTCTTAATTTTCTAGAGGACTATAGTTATCAGTAGGTAAAAGAGCAATGCTTAGAAGGTCTGTACCTCAAAATATATGTTTTCATTGTTTGTATTTTCATCTTTTGACTTAGTGTTTTTTGGCTTACAGACTTTATTTTAGTAATACTGTAAAACCCATACTCCTTGGGAACAGATAATGTGAAACTCTTAACACCAAAGCTTTCAAAGAAAACTAACATGGGTGAGGGAATAAAAGATCAGAAAAGAAAGATTAGAGGGATAATAAAGCAGGCAAAGAAAGATTAGAGGGATAATAAAGCAGAAAATTTTTAAAGTATTTAGAACAGATTTAATCTAATTTTGAAGTAACTAATGGTTTTTCTATCTTAATATAACAAGATGCTTAATAATGAATAATTTGTAAAGCATTTTGGAAATTCATGCTTTCTGCCAGCTGGTTTTGTTTTTCAATCCAAACTTTACATTGTGACTTTCCTTTCTTTGTTGGTTGTAAGAAAGGAATGAAAAATTGAATAAACAAAAATTAAATTTTTAATGCCTATCCTGGCTACTTAAAATTCTTTTTTAAACTATTTTCTCCATTATCTCTTACTTTTTGGACTTAGGTCTTATCTTTGCAAAGGAGCAATCCATAGTTATCCTTGAGGTTTCATTTTTTTCATTCTCCTCCCTCAAAGTTGGTGAAACTAGAATTCATTTATAAAATAAATGTATAAGTAATAAAGGGCAAATTTTCAGTCTAGGGTTTTGTAGAGTGTTCAATATAGTATGGAAGACAAATATTACTAGATAGTCAAAAGTTTGCTACCGCATGAAAAAGAGGTATAGTGTATGGTAGGCTACAAGTCAGCCTAACTTATATGGTGTAAGTGACTTAAGAAAAATTGACTGGAAGAATTTAAACTAAGATCCAAGTGATTACTGTAGCTAGTGAAGGAGGATTAGATAATCTAGGATGTGTGAATTTTTCATAATGGGAAAGAAAATGGCAGTAGCACTTTGAAAAAACTGAGCTTATTATTTGAAACGAAGAAGAGGTGAAAATTGCCAACTCTTAACTAACACATTTCGTATACCATTTAATAGGTAATTTCTGGACAAAAGCTCACACGACTGTTTACCTCAAATCAGATACTACCAAGTGAATGCTTGAGTTGCCTTGTGGAGCTACTGGAAGACCCAAACATAAGTGCTTCACTGATCTTAAGTATTATCAGTTTGCTGTCTCAACTAGGTAATGCATTTAGTTTGTTTCTTTCTTTTTTTTTATTCCCAGTTTTTGGAAAATATATTAGTTTAATATTTTCTTTTCTTTTTTTTTTTTTTAGAGAGAGAGAGATTTTTTTTAATATTTTATTTTTTAGTTTTCGGCGGACACAACATCTTTGTTTGTATGTGGTGCTAAGGATTGAACCCGGGCCGCACGCATGCCAGGCGAGCACGCTACCGCTTGAGCCACATCCCCAGCCCCTAATTTAATATTTTCTATAGTCCAAATTTAATTATAAATTCCCTTGGAGAACAAGTCACATTCAAAAGATTTCTTCATTGCAGAACTTTTCAGAGTTACTTTGAATTGTGAATCTTTAGAAAAAGGATAATATGTCATTTCTTAAAATATTAGGCCAAGGAATCAAAAGCATTTCAAAAATTCCATGTTTTATAGGAAAGAATGCAGTTTGGGAAATGTTAAGCTGCTTTGGAATTTATAAACTACAAAAATCTGTACCTACATAATGGCGGTATTGAATACACCATTCAGAAAATCATAGTTACCAACCAAAAGATCATTTTTTCTGTGATAGACATTACAGAGAATTTTGAACTAGGGATAAAAATACTGTTGTTGCTTTTTCTAATTTTTTTCCTTTTGCATTTACTTAATGATTAGCCCCCACCCCTCATTTGAGCATGGGGTGGTGGGAGTGGGATATTTCTTTGTGTAGTTGTAAAATGAAGATAAGCTTAATAAATTCAAGTGATATGGAAATACTAGCACAGGGAGGCATTGTCCAATAGAAGAATAGAAGTTTTTTTAATGATAGAAATTTTTTAGGTCCTTATTGTCCAGTCAAGTAAGTACTTGCTACACAGGGCCATTAAGCATTTGAAGTATAGGTACAATACTGAGAAACTAAATCTTTAATTAATCTAAATCTAAATAACCACATATATAATGTAATGGCTTTACCAAATTAGTAAGCCTAGTTGTAGAGTAAGATGGGATGAGTCTTTACTCATTACCACAGCTCTTCTCATCATTGCATTCACCTTTGGGGATGAAATCTCATTTTTTTGGTTTGATATGTATCTTTTTAGGTATTTTTCTATTTTAGAACAAATGATTTTAGATATTTAGATGGTTGTTTTCAATGCAGTTGGTGTTGTAGAGCACCAGATGTTTTATCCTATATCAGTATAATTCTAGTAGCTGTCTGCTACTATAATTAGAGGGTGCTATAATTTATGTAGCCATTCTCCTAATGGTGATGTTATTTTTCAACTTTTGCTTCTAGAGTCAATAGTGTGCTGGGCATGGGGGCATTGATAGTGAATGCCTTTGTGCAGATCTTATGGAAACAACTGCTGAGTATGCAGAAATGGGTATCAGTGTGAGAGAGGATTATTCATTCTTCTGAACTTCTGCCATTCTTTGTCTATACAGCACAGTGTAAACCAGTGACTACCTCTGGGGTTTGATCTCTAGTACCAAAAAATAAATAAACTCAATAGTGCAATGAACTTTTTTTTTATGTAATTTCCCTCAAAAATTCCGAGTAAAGTTTTCAGGTCATTTTAAAATTGGATAGCCATTTCAGGAAGTAAATTGCTTTTTTTTTTTTTTTTTCTTTCTTTATATACCAGGGATTGAAACCAGGGGCCATTAACCATTGAGCCATATTCCCAACCCTTTTTATTTTTTATGTTTGAGACAGGGACTCACTAATTTGCAGAGCCTGGCATTGAATCTCCGATATGCTTGTTTCAGCCTCCTTAGCATCTGGCTGGGGTGCGCCACCTGCATAAATTGCTTTTAAAACAGTTATACCTCTTCTAACACCCACCAACAATTTAGGTGCTATTTCAACATTTAAATATACTAGACAATTTTTAAGTGATAATCTTTATTTTAAGTTATATACACTTTAATAGATTTATATTGTAGAGGCTTTCTGGTTTACAACAAAGTCAATGTGATAATCTGTTAATAGCAATATTTCTATAAGGATGTAAAATGAGTTTTTTCTTTCATATTAATTTATTCTCCATAGAGAAATCATTTGAGTTTCTGAATTGGAGGGTGTTGATAAGTAACCATATTTTCACACTTTATTTTCTTAAATGACAACTTATGTGAAATAAATTTAAAATTACTTTACCTTCATTCATGAAGTCCATATTAAAAAAAAATATGAAGAGAAGGGAGAGTGGAAGGGAATAGGAAAGACAGTAGAATAAATCGGACCTAACTTTCCTAGGTTCATTGAATACACAACCAGTGTAGCTCCACATCGGGTACAGCCATCATGTACAATGGGAAGTTATACTCCATGCATGTATAATATGTCAAAATGCACTATACTGTTATGTATATCTAAAAATAATTTTTAAAAAATATAGTTTGTACCATTTTATTTTAACTTACAGCTGTAGACAATGAAACCAGAGATTGTCTTCAGAATAC